CTCCCGGGACAGCATGCCAAATAAGCTTTGTAAATCATCAGCTAAGTGTGAACTCTTGAAGTGAAGTTTATTCATAAACTAATTTCGAGAGGATCACGTGCTTATGATTTATCACGTCCAGTCTCGCATTTGCTAATCACTAATCTTCCAATCATATGAGCCCTAAGGCACCATAAATAGTCTAAGTTTTCAGTTCACTTTATCTTCGTTTGGAAGAAACCCCCCTCCTCCCCTTTTCTCCTCCTTTACCTGTAATTGGGCGGCACGGCGGTCCAGTGGTTAGCACTGTGAACCACACAGCAAGAATACTGCCGGTCCTAGTTCGATAGGACCGGTGAGTGTTTCTGTGGGGAGTTTGTATGTCCTTCCCGTGTCCGCGTGGGTTTTCCCCGGGCTCTCCGGTTTCCTCCCACCATCCAAAGACATTCAACATACTTAACAATCAAGCTGGTCTAATTCCTTACGTTCCCTTAGCTACAGCGGCAGGGGAGTTCTGAGATCCACCGAGCTCAGGCTCCCTTCTTGCTCTGCCAACGGGAGGAAGCCCCGGGCTCGAGGAGCCCTTGAGCTCGGGGCTCTCTCCCGGGACAGCATGCCAAATAAGCTTTGTAAATCATCAGCTAAGTGTGAACTCTTGAACTGTATTTTATTGATACTGTGCTCGTGTTTTGCTCATGAGAGATTAACATTCTCGTAACCTTCTTTAAACAGGATCTATTAGTGAACAAAAAAAAGCTGCTATAGTACCGATCATATAGTCAGTTTTGATTAATAGTTTGCATTTAATATTTATTTTCTCTTAGATCTCAATGACCAATCATGACTGCCCTTTGAGAACCGCTGGAGTAGAGTCCAGTGTGCTGTTTATCCACATAAAGCAGCTCTGACACCATCTACATAGTATATAGTGTTGTAGAATTAAAGCTGTGTTGACACACACACACACACACACACACACACACACACACACACACGGAGCACCATTCAGAATTTGATGATGCACTTCTGAAGCGGTCATGTCCACATGCACACCAGTATTTTTATAAGCACAGTTTTCCCTGCCTTATTTTAAAACAAAACTCTTTGTCCACATGAAAATGCACAGTGATGCATGTTAAACACAAACCAAACCAACAGGGGGCGCTATACGCCTTTTAAGCTGGAGTTTAAGGTGGAGTGGGGTATTTGTGCAAGTAAATTGTAAATAAGTCGATGGCTGTTTCTCAATTTCAAGACAGTGAGAGCAGACTTGTGGAGACCGTCGTGCCAAGTTACCTCAGAATAATGAACTCAGGAGACCGCGAGAACAGAGAACACGTCCTGTGAGAATGAGGCCCCGTTTACACTAATGCGTTTTCGTTTTAAAACGCTAAAGTTTTGACACGGTTACTCCATCTGTCCACACTACACCGGAGTTCTCGAGTGCCGAAATGGAGCATTTTGGAAACGCTGGAGAGGCTGTTTTCATTCTGAAGCGCTGCTGCTCCGTCTCAGTGTGGATGAGGGAAAACAGAGACATCTGAAACGGAGGCGGGGCTGCTGAGATTCGCTACCTGATTGGGGCTTTTGTGTCATTGCGTATCCTTCCCTTATTCGTCAAGCCCCTATCACATGACTATAACACATGGCTTTAACGCTACCGGGAGACAGCAGACCAGCCTTCACTGTAAACAGCATGGACACAGAAATGGGAGTGTTGTTTGCACTATTGTCTGTTTTTGGCGTCATTGTGCAGTAATATATTTGTTATGTTTAGTAACAACTCGACCTCGTCGTCTGTCCACAAAAACACCTCTCTTGCTTTCTTTGCCATCACGTTCATTGTTCAACCGGCGTTTGTCGACTAACAATAACCAAATGCAGAGCGAGACGCATGCTTCCTGTTTATACTAGAACACGCATGCCCAGAGTGCGCCAATGGTCACGTGATATACGTTTTTGTGGCGTAGTGTGGACGGAGATATGTTCGGAAACGCTAGGTGAAACGCTAGTGTGGACGCGGATTGTTTTTGAAACACACTAGTGTAAACGGGCCTGAGTTGCTGCGGGCTTCCTGATGGTCACATGACCTTCACACGTTTTTAAAGCAAAACTATTTAAACATTAAAGTCTTCATATAATGATTTATAATTTTTCCCGTTTCCACAATATTTACTCTGCATTAAGACTTTACAAATGTGTGTTGCACGATACAAACAAATCTGATTTTAATAGGAATTTCAGCAAATAAACACCCTTAATGTGTTCATACCTTTATTAAGATTTTCATGTTAATGTTTACTTTCAGCGTCTCATTCAGGGAAGCTCCTAAGATAAATGAGTTGTATCTCTGAACTTTAATAATAAATCTATATAATCTATATATAAATCCATCAGTTTTGCGCTCGAGTCTGCATCGATGCGCCCTCGATATCAAGAACACATCACCCGTCCTTCATTCTTGCAGTCTTGACTTTTGGAACTGAACTTTGGCTTTTGATGATGATGTTACACGAGAACACGCAAGAACACTGAAGAACACATATTGAGGAACAATACAGCACGCGTGAGAACAAAGATTGATGATTTTCCCAGAGTGGGGTTGACACGAATGCATGAAACATTTGCCATGAATGTATGAAATG